CCGGATTGAAATATGACCTTAGTTTTCGTCTAGCATGAAAATTCCCCGAAATAGATGGAGTTGAAGTGACACGTGACACCGCCTTTCACAGATCGAGATGCTTTTGACGAGATGCTTTTGATCGAGATTTGACTGATTACTTTCGTAACAGTTTTTACATATTTTGCTCTGTAATGGAATGTGATTCAATTCTTCTAATTTCCGTTTCTTTGGATTATTTTTCCGCAAATTATTAACCATCATTAACGAATTTGATGTGTCTTTAATAGGAAAAAACTTATCATTTTTCGATCTTTTTTGGTCATTACAGCCTAAACATTTAGTGAAAGGCATTGTCTTATTGAAGAATCAACGATCGTCAAGATATGAAAAAATATATCTGAAGAGACAAGAGAATGTAGAAAAAATTAAGATGAAGCAAGAGAAAAGTAGCGAGAAACCATAGATATATATAAAAATAGACCGAGCGCTTATATGACACAAGTTAAAGTATCGTACAAACAAAAAAATGAAAAACAAACAAGCAAGAATAGAATAGAATACATTAGAATAGTATGTAGATAGATTCTTGGAATATACTTCATGTGATAGTACAGTATTTCAACTGCGAGAGAACTTGTCAATGCGTCATGTAGCGAGACTCTATCTTTCAGGGTGCTTTATAAAGCACGCCTCCCTCCATAGCGGTGAATAGTAGATCGTTCATTCTCTAAACAATGAATCCATTCGATAGAATATATCCTCAATATTACATGAACTTCAGCCACGTATTTTTCCTTATGCGATATACCCTGACTGGAAATCATCACTTTCACCCCCTTGTATCTCCGGAATCGTGCCTATACTCATCTTGAAATTTTACTGAGATTAATGTTTCATCTAATAGTACTATTTGGCATGAAAAAAAGTTCGAAATTTGAGGTCCAAAAAATGGGCTAAATTTGACATCACTCTTTTAATAAATTTTTAATAAAAAAGTAAAATTTTATTGTCTAAAAATATAAATAACTTTTTAAACATTTTTTATCTATAGCTTATAGCATTCTATATTTATTCTATTATTTTGTATTAAAGATTATTGAATAAATAATAAAATAAAAACGCAAATGACTTTACATTAATGTTATTTTTTATTTATTTCTGTGTACTTTTATTACTTACTTGCAGTTGCTAAAATTCTCTTAATTTCATATAGCGGCCAAAAGTCCATTTTGGATATACATTTTTGTACAGCTTTGGAAAATCGTTCATTTGATGTAAAAGTAGGCCAATATGCCTGTTTCTTGTTTTCTGTTATCCAAGAAGAAGGTATCATTTACAGCCCATCATCAAATTCTACTATAGCATATTGCTCCATTGTAACTAAACTAACAAAAATATATAAAAGATGCTTTCTGAGCCCAACACTATTCTCACTGTATATGACGAATCTAGAAAAAAAATTGAAAACAAGCAGAGGAAAGTGGTAATAAAAAGAGAAAAGATTTGATCTTTTAACATATGCAAACGACATAATATTTCTAGGAAGAAACCTGCTAAATTAAAAAAAACAATTAAAATTGGAATAGAATTAATTAAAGATTACCAATATAAAAATTTAAAAAAAAGAAAAAACTACAAGTTAAAATAAAAATAAAAATATTTTACAATCCTAAAAATAATTATGTATATAGATAATTTTTTAATTATATTACAAGTTATTAATATAATATATATGATTTTGTACACAAATATATGCCAAACTTCTTTTTAAGGCCGAGTAAAGCAAGAATAAAATAAAAATTACTATTACATATATTTTACATATTTTAAAAAATATTTCAAATTCTATTTATGAATGCAACAATGGAAATACTACATATTTATTTTCTGATAACGGTAATTTAACATATTTAATATAAATATTTTCTATTGGCCACATTTGTAATTCACTTAAACCGTGCACACTAAATATTTTTAATAATGATGAAGGACATGAAGTGTTATAAAAATCTTCTTTGTGTAAAAATTTTTGACCTATAATTACATTTGTATTGAGATCTTTATTGCGTGTTATGTTCTTTATTAATATAATAGTTCCATCAACCAATGCACAACAATTATCAGCTATTACATCAGTACATAAAATCATATTTGCTTTTCTAATTATTCTGTACTGTGGATTACAGCAAGCATGTATCAATGGCCCAGATGAATGAATGGATTTCAAATCTATTGTAAAATTTTCAATTTCTTCTGTTATAAGATTCTCTTCTATTTTATTTTTTTCATATTCCATATATCTTCGAACAATTTGTTGCAATGGTTTGTCATACTTTCGTAACAATTTTTTTAATGTTTGTAAAAAATTTTCATATTTAAATGAACTAAAATTATCTAACGAACCAAATTTCTTTACATCTTGTACAAGATGAATTAGACCGTGTACATTAAAAGAGACATTATGAGTGCCATAAATTAGTGCAAATGATGTAACAAAATGTTCTAATAGCTTTTGACAATAAGCCAATAAATCATGTAATTCTGTGGAACATAATATTCTAATAGCTACATGTAATGTTATAAAATGATCATATATGTCACTACGAAGAACATTTTTCAAAGCTACAGGTCCTGTGTACAAAAGGAATTCTCGATATTCTGTAGCTTTCCAAAGTTTTACGAAAGTCAGTGATCGAGGTTTTCGTGCAAACTCACATGGTACATGTACTTTTAATATAGTTTCTGAATTTAATGATATGTTTTGACGTTTTCTACTCTCTAAACGATATTGTTTATTATTGCCAAATAACCATAAATATAGTAATCGTCGTGTAACTCCTAAACAAACTAAATGCATATAATCTAAGGGTATATTATTTACAAGATCGAAATTTGGAATATTTTCAATAATTGATGTTCCAATATGAAAATTTTCATCTGTCTTTGTTCTAAATTCTAAATCTGTTCTCAATGGAGCATCTATTTCAGGGAAGCAAACTTTATTACGAAAAGTGCCTTCAGTTTTACATTTGGTACAGCTAGAATAACCAGTATGTCCTTTAACTTGTAATATGAATGACTTTGCAGGAGTATCACATATTATAGCATCTATATTGCAATTAACATGTTTATTATTAATAATTCCGTCATGACACAAAAGTTGTATTTCTTCTATAAATTCTCTTAAAAAATCTTCTGAATTAGAAGGTTTCTGTGTACCATAGTATGCTCCAATAATAAAAACTTGCTTTGATTGCCCTATAGAGCCCAAAATTGGCCATAATTGTTGATGCGATGACTTTGATAAGGGTAACCCATCTATATTTATATTTATTTTTATATTAGTAACATTTTCTGAAATAGATACAAAATTTTTTATTGACTTTAATAAACTAAAGTGGCAATATTTCCCATCAGCACAATTTCTAATATTAACACTTCTCGGAGTATGCAAAAGTGTCCTAGGATCAGACGGTATATTACAATGACATTTATTACATGTATACTGTTTTATGCCTTTTATAAGAGTATGTAAAGATGCTTGTGAAATATTTTCTTTAACTGCCCAACTAGCCAGAAATCTTTTAAAATCAATTTTTTCATTATCTTTATTATTATGTTCAATTTCATCATTACTCAAAAATTTTTGATCAAATAAGGATAAAACTTCATTATTTTCTTCTTCACTACTTAAAGTGGTATTTGTTTGATCAGATGAATCAGTTATTTCATTTAATAAATCTGCTGCATCTATCTCATCTCGATTAAAAGTTGACGTATGCGAATTTTCAATTATTTCAAATGTTGCTATGTTAGATGGCACATTAGATACATTACATGTTGATAGTTCATTTAAAGCTTTATTAATCATATCAGTTTCTAATTTACGAATTTTACGTTGTGTCGGAGAATTAATCATATCAAAAGTTTTTTTATAATTACCACGCAGCATCTTAACCTCAAAAGTTATTTTTGCGTAAAAAATTTGTATAAATGATATAATTTTACCTTTCGATTCTTCCTAGTATTATCTTGGAAATAAAATTTGTTGCGAATCCTGCTATTACTGAAAAACTGTTAATTATTATACACTGTTAAAATCACACAAAGTTATAAAGTGGATGCGAAAAAGCCGGGAAAGCTGAACACAGACACCTTCTGTAATCGCGCGCGTAATCGTAAGGATTCGACCAATTGCGTTGCTTGATTTAGCAATCTATACATATGTGCCCTGACTGCTCTCGAGTCCCTAGATTCTAGTGTGATCGGCTTTAATACTGTTCGCTAAAAGGCGCACGGTAGCCAATTAACGTGTCATCATTTTTCAACAAAATTTGTTATATACATTTAACGCATATAATTTTTTAATTTGTCTTTAAATAATCTTGAAAAAAATATGCTGGATATAACCTGAATTAATCCTTGAAATAGCATATATAGTACCCCAATTACATTTTCTGAATTAATTTGGGATGCATTGTAAACGTTTCTAGGATTACAAAAGACATCCTTAAGAGATCCAAAAAATATCCTCAGTTGTTTGGATTTGTATCACATCCTAAATATATCCGATGATATTTAGGATATATTCAGGATCCTGAGGATATCTTGTGCTGTTTGGGCATATATGAACGCAATTCTCGATAAATTACGATCAGCTAGGTATATTTCGACTATCTAAGCCAAGCATATTTTCAGATTCCGCTTGAAAGAAATAGTCGCGAATTAACGGCATTTACGGTACCGGGAAAAGGGTTGTTTCATTTTACCCGAATGCCGTATGGCCTCACCGGTGCCCCCGCGACATTTCAGCGATTACTTGATCGACTTATAGGCCCCGAAATGGAACCGCATGCTTTCGCTTACTTAGATGATATCGTTGTCGTGACGCGTACTTTTGAAGAACATCTGACTTGACTAAAACGCGTATTGGATCGAATTAGAGAGGCAGGCCTTACGATAAATCCAGAAAAGAGTAAATTCTGTCGGTCTCAGGTAAAATATCTTGGATTTCTAATTCAGCAGGAAGGGCTTAAAGTAGACCCTGACAAGACCGCGCCGATTGTTGAATATCCGCCACCGAACTCGCATAAAGCAGTATTGTCATCTTGAAGAATCGGAGTTGCAAGGGGAAATGCGGCTCCTTCATCTGTTATCAATTGCTTGATCACTCGTAAAGCCAGGAACGGAGCTGACGCGGTTCCACACGTAACAGTGAACAATTGATAATCCTGAATGTCCGATTGATCCTGATTATACCAGACAATACGTTGATAGTCACGATCACGAGGGTCGACCAAAATCCGTCGGTACATCTTGGCAATATCCGCCATGTAAACATCCTTAGGTTTCCGCCATCGTAATAAGATCGCCGTTATTTCCGTTTGCAATTTAGGCCCGATCTCTAAATGTGAATTTAACGATGTACCGTTTGTTGTGAGGCTGGACGCGTTGAACACGACGCGCAGTCTAGTGGTAGCGCTCGTTGCGCGGATCACAGGATGATGCGGAAGATAAACCGCCGGTGAATGAGATGCGGCTGGATGATGCGCTCTTTGCATGTGATTTAACTGCTCGTATTCTTCAAGAAAAGCTGAATATTCCGATTGGAGATCTGGATTCGTATCTAGACGCCTTTTTAATGCTGTTAGTCTCCGTATAGCTATTGATCTAGACTCTCCGATGTCGATAGGGAACTTCGTCTTAAACGGCAGACGAACCACGTAACGCCCGTCGGAAATTCGTGAGTGAGTCGTAAGAAAATGTTTCTCACATTGTTCTTCGGCAGGAGACAAAATGTTATCTCGTGGGATCTCTTCGATTTCCCAAAAACGGCGTAACTCACGCTCGATTGAGCAATGAAAGACGTTAATCGTTTGAGCCAAAACGTTTTGATTCTGAGCGGGTCCAGAGATAATCCATCCAAAATGAGATCGCTGGGCGATAGGTTGCCCGATTGGACCTTTCCGTATTCCATTCGTAATGATTTGACTGTAAATGTCGGCGCCAATGATTACGTCAATAGGGCTTGATCCTGTGGGATCGTCGTCTGCTAACTTGAGTGTACTTATATGTCTCCAATCCGATACTGAGACTGATAATCGCGGCGCGTATTTAGTAAGTGCATTTAGAATATACGCGACCGTGGTGAAAACTGGCTTAGGCTTTCCGCGAGGTACGAGTTCAATGACAGCGGAATGTCGACATGTATCCGCATTGATACCGCCGACTGCGGAAATTTGAGCGAAAATTCGTTTCCGAGTTAACCGCAAGATTCTTGCTAATCTTGCTGAAATAAAAGTGACCTCTGACCCTTGATCGATCAGGGCGCGAGCTTCACAGACGCGACCGTCGGGAGACCGAACTGTTACTTTCGCTGTGGCCAGTAATACGGATGACACGGGCGCACTTGAACATACGGCGGACATCGCGACGGTTTGCGATGGCTCGAGATTATCAATAGTTGCGCTGGTGCTAGACGTGTTCGCTCGTGTAACGTCTAGATCGCTTGAAGAGGCCGAATCAAGATGCAAGAGAGAATGATGCCTTTTTTGACAAATGCGACATGTATTTTTACTTTGGCAGTTTTTTACGGAATGTTTCGTTCCGAGACAATTGAAGCATAGATTTGAATTCTTGACAATTTCGCGTCTCTGATTCGGACTCTTAATTACAAATTGTTGACACCTACTAAGATAATGCGGTGTCTTACAGACTGGACACGGACCGGAAGATTGACGCGCGAAGGTCGCAGTGTTCGCTTGAACAGTATGTCGACCTTTGTTCGCAGCGGAAGGAGCTAATTCCTCTAATGCGAGCGCACGCGATGATATAAACGTAATCAAGTCTTCGTAATTCGGCGGAGTCGATTCCGATCCGGTTTTGAGTTTCCATGCGCGACGAGTGGCGGAGTCAAGCTTGAGCGATACAAAATAGATTAAAATGTCATTAAGTATATCCTCTTGTGTTCGGTTTAACCGCTTTAAGGCTGAAAGCGCTCGATCGGTTTTATCGCGTAAAGCGTGCAATTCCGCGGCACATTCTTTGTTAACCGAAGGTAAATTGTATAATTCAGCAATGTGAAGTTCAACAAGTTTACGTTTATTTTCAAAACGAGAAGTTAATGCTTTCCAAGCGACGTCAAAATTATCAGCGGTAACAGAAGTACCCGCTACAACATCGCGAGCTTTATCGGTCAAGCTTGAGACCAAAAAATGCATGCGCGCGAAATCGGATAATTCGGGATTCTTTATGATTAACGCAGTGAATCGATCGCGAAAAGTTTCCCACTCGTCGGCTTTACCGGAGAACGGTGGTAATTGAATTGGCGGTAAATGTCTCAATGATAACGCGGATTCCGACTGTATATGAGATACAGATCGGTCGCTTGATTGGAGCGGACTCACGCACGGTTCCAGTTCCTCCAAACAGTCAGACATGTAGTCCAGTGCTGTCAAGTAGATTTCCTGGTATTGATCCAGTTGCTCGTCTCGGAAATAAGCGATGAGATCGCCTTTTGATTCCGGATAATGTTGCAGCAACAGGCGATGTCCTTCCAGGCAATTATTCCATGTTTCCTTGAGTGATGTCATTCGGTTTCGTATCTTGGCGGAGGTGAGATTATTCCGGCCAATTTTCTTGAAATTGTCCAATGCTTTCGCTACGAAGCGTAGCGTCGAAAGCTGATTTTCAACTAATTCACTCATTGTCACTGACAGTAGTCAAAACTTTCAAATTCACTCACAGTATTGTTATCACGCTGACTTCGAGCTCTTACGATCCGGCTCGAAGGGCCAAAATGTTCGGGATCGCGCTTTCGATTCGCGAATTTTGTAAAACCGGGTAAGCGCGATTGAACTTTGCCGGCACATACCCGCGGGGGTATCGCAAGCTCTCTCAGTGCGTGATCGCGTAAGGAATACTTGATAGGAATGAAATTGTATGCAGTTGCGACTTGATGTGTTACAGTAAGACCGGTGAGCGAATTACTGTCCGTTTATTGTTAAAGTCACAAAATGATACACGTTTGCTGGTCTCAAGACGCGATGTAGGGTGAGAGCGCACCACTACGCGGATCGCGTGAGAGCGAGCGAGACAGCTATCGATCAGCTGTTAGCGAGATCGAGCGAGACGGCGCTATATCGGCCGTTCGCTTGAGAGCGAGCGAGACGGCGCTCTATCAGCCGTTCGCGTGAGAGCGAGCGAGACGGCGCTCTATCAGCCGTTCGCGTGAGAGCGAGTGAGACGGCGCTATATCAGCCGTTCGCGTGAGAGCGAGCGAGACGGCGCTATATCGGCCGTTCGCGTGAGAGCGAGCGAGACGGCGTTATGCCGCTCGGATAAGAGTTTGAGCGAGACCGCACTATACACATCAGTCCGCTGGTCCGATATAGATAGAATGAATATTGCTATCTGCGAATACGCGAACTGCACTGTTCACGACTTGACACAAATGCGAGAGAGACGGCGTTATGCCGCTCGTACTAGAGTTCGAGCGAGACCGCACTATACACGACTCGCCACGAATGCGAGAGAGACGGCGTTATGCCGCTCGTACTAGAGTTCGAGCGAGACCGCATTATACACGTCGGTTCGCCCAATTTTGAGATAGATAGCTGACTTGTGGCTATCTATGAATACGCGAAACCGCACTATTCACGGCTCGCCACGAATGCGAGAGAGACGGCGTTATGCCGTTCGTACTAGAGTTCGAGCGAGACCGCACTATACACGTCGGCTCGCCACGAATGCGAGAGAGACGGCGTTATGCCGTTCGTACTAGAGTTCGAGCGAGACCGCACTATACACGTCGGTTCGCCCAATTTTGAGATAGATAGCTGACTTGTGGCTATCTATGAATACGCGAAACCGCACTGTTCACGGCTCGCGGGAGAGTGAGCGAGACGGTGCTCTATCGGCCGTTCGCGTGAGAGCGAGCGAGACGGCGATCTATCAGCCGTTCGCGTGAGAGCGAGCGAGACGGCGCTATATCGGCCGTTCGCGTGAGAGCGAGCGAGACGGCGCTATATCGGCCGTTCGCGGGAGAGCGAGAGAGACGCCCAGTTCGCTTGAACGGAGTTGCGGTACGACGAAGGCTCCGCCTCTGGCTGAGAGTGGAGGCGCTCCGAAAGATCCCGGCACTCGCGTTTGAACTGTTCACGTGCACTGCGGACACGATTACTGGCGCGCACAATGTTACTTCGCGAAACTGTTACAATGATTGAGGCTCGCGGTTGAAGGATTTCACACGCGTGAGACTAATGAAACGAATCTTAACTTTGCTCGTTAAGATTATCGCGAACTCTCGAATTTGCACTATTTTTACTCTCCGTATGACGCTCCGATCACTATGATGGAAAACGGAAGACTCTCGGGGAGAAAGCCTTTCTCCCGATAGATAAAGATTTGATCACAGATCGTATGATCGGACCTCGACGTATCCCTGATCATTACGTCAGATCGCGTGATATGTAAGCCTGTTTATTGGCCAGGACCGTGTATTATTTCGCGTGATCACGCGGATCCTGGATGATTTTTGAAAAACAGTAACGGCGTACGTGAACGCGGGTTCGATAGTGCGCAAACGGATGGCGCTAGTATGACCGGGGGTAATAATTTTATGCGCGATTCAGGGCGAATCCTTAACAGAATCAGATCGCGAACGTCGCACTAGACAACTCGCGACAAACAAGACCGCGGGCCCCAGTGAGAGACGACATCGCGAATCAAATTCGTGAAAGGCGATGACAGATCGCACCTCGTTTGGATTAGTGAAAAATTTCGGTAATTTTTTTTTGTGTTGCAATTTGTGTTCATGTCTTCCTCGGCTCCGGGGACTTTGGTCGCTCGAACGCGTGAACGCGGACGAAAGTAACGTCCGATTAGTGGCTATGGGTGACCGAAGCCGATATGTTCTCTCCTGGCATGAGGGGGTGTGATGTTGCCGTCCTGTCGCGCGTCCATCCGCCCCGATAATTTTAACGGGGCGCGGGCCGAGTGGCCGCGCCAGAATCCACCACGAGAGAACACTATCGAGCTCCCCGGAAAGACGAGCAATATTATTATTTTTGTTGCGTTTATTAATTATAGTTGTCATTTCTTTTATTGTGTCGAGCGAGTTGCGGGCAACCCGCCGGAGAAGATCCGGAGGGCGAGGAGCGCATCGAGGGATCTTAGTAACGTGTCCGTGCGTGTTTCTTTTATCGAGTGATTTTTAATCGCCAACAGTTATTATTCGACAGTGATTAATAGTGATTAGTGATAGAGTCATTAGTAAATTTCTCGTCTCGTCGAGTGAGTAAATAAATGTGATTATGTTAAAGTTTATAAAAGAATGCAGTTCATGAAAGAAGAAAAACTTTCAGTTAATAATTTAGTGTGGATTTCTGTCTTGTGCAACGTGATATCTACGTTAAATCTGAGAACGTACGATCTATCGGAAAATTCATTTCTTCTTTAAATAATTAGAGCAATAGATCAGAAGTCATCGAACAAGGCAATAATAACTATTTTTTGGCATTATGTGAAAACGGATCTCGGGAAGAACAGAGGGACAGTGTGTCAAAGAAAATTCGTGAAAAGAGAGGGGTTTTTAGTGGGTAGAGGATTCCGAGTTGGTAATTCGACTTGGTACTCCTGTGGAGTCCCACATAACTCACTGGATCGACCGGTGGGTATGCATAAAATGCATTTTCCCCTCTCTCGTCAAAAAAAAAAATATTACAAGTGAGTGAGCGAATGAAAGAGAGAGAGAGAGAGAGAGAGAGAGCGAGAGAAAGAGAGAGACAGACAGACAGACAGCAGACAGAGAGAGAATGTATGTGTTCGCATGTGTGTCTGTATGTGTATAGTGACCAGCTGATCGCAGCAGGCGCCCCGCGTAAGCGCCCGCGTCTGACGGGCCTCGCGTCACCCTTGCCTGCCTCTTGTATCCGACCCGCGTTAACTACTTTCTTTAATAATTCGAAAACTAAGCTTTGGACGAAATTTTGCAAAAGGAAAAATCGTCTTAGAATTGACTCAACAATGTATCATTTCACGGACATAGGGGTTATTTTGAATCACCCTGTATATAAGATAAAGTATAATTAAAGATAATACATATATATTTATAAATATGTAACGGGCGTGCTCCGTTAGAGTCGCGGATAACTGCAGTCGTGTCTCTAAGGCTCGGGTAGGCAAGCGCAATAATACAAAAAAAAAATACGCGTGATACTTTACTAAATGTATATATATTTGAGTGTTGAAGGTATACAATGGTGTCGATTGTGTGTATGCATAGGTGTGTGTATTTTAAACGGTGCGGCGCGTGAATCGGCTGCGCGTGTGCGTGTGTGTGTGTGTCTGTGTGCACGCGAAATTCCTTGGACGCAAAAACGCGATAACCGCCGAGTTTCTTTCGCTTGATCGTTGTATCTCCGGATTAAATGCTTTTGGAAAACGACGGCGTTTATCTCGCTCGGGTGCAACGCGGAAAGATGCGCTTCCGGAATATTTGACAATTTTTTAGCGCGGTTCGGATGCTGTAAGTCCGGTTTGAAACGGTTGTCTGGTTTTTGCGCAATACGTGATTTTCGGTATTCGTGGATTAAATATAATTTCGCTCGCGGTACGGTCGATAACCGCGTGACGTAAGCGGCGCGTGTTTACGTTGTTTTTACGATCTTTCTTTCTCTGATGTTCGCGGAATTGCACTGTCTTTTCCCCATATGGTGTGGTCGGGATTTCTGGGATAGTCGGTGTTAGCGGGATCAACCCGCTGGGGGCAGCGCTCTTCTCTACCTCCGGATGCACCGACTGGACGGGATAGATGTTGCGTGCGTACCGAGATCTCCCGGTTAAATCGGGGTGCGCCCCAATTTAGTTTCGCACGTGGAAAAAATGGATTGGTTTACTTGATCGATGGATTGGATTACTGACCCTGAGATCACCCAGGCGTGGTGAAGAGCACCCCACCGCTTTGGTCACGAATCTTTTGACTCTTTCAGGATAGCTTTCGTTTGCGACTGCTCGCTTGAGAAGCTCGGATAAAAAAGTGCCTACCTGGTTGATGAGCCCCCTTTTTATACTGGGCTAATTAGCCCGCGCCGGCGTACATTAGAATCGCCCCCACCGAGCGGACGGGAAGACGGAACGGCGTGGGTCCTGCTCGTGGCAGCGCGGCGGACCCGGGCGCGGGGAGATCTAACTCCTTCGCTCGGTAGTTGTCGGCCGTTTTCGGCGTGCTTCGTCGATTCGGCCTGGCTTGGTTTTAAGCCGTTATGGGGTTTAAAAAAAATGTGGCGCTACGCGCCCTGCCCTTTGCCCGGCGGTGTTCTGCCGGGCGGCAGCTTCCAGCTCGCATGGTGGGCATTAATTAGGAGGGTGCAAGGGTGCATCGTTACAAATAACTTAACTAAAAAGCAAGAATTATAGTAGAAAATATTTATGAAGTATTTATTACTTATTATGTTAATAAAAATTTAATGAACATAGTTATATATATGTAATTGTATAAAGATACGTATAATTCTTGTTATTTTTTAATAAATCAATGTATTATACGATGTATTATCTTGCATACACACTAACTGGCTAAGAATTATATATATAATAATGCAGGAAGAGAAAGTTTAAAATTATTAATGTAATTTAACTATAAATAAAAATAATATAATCTATATTATAATATATATATTTAATTATATATATATATATATATATA